TTTGCTATTATGTGATTGGTCTGTTCAACGGAGCGCAAACAAACCACAAACACAAAAGGAAAAGAATGTGGTTCGGATGTGAGCAGCCGTTTCCTTGGGGGGAGCGTTGCGTGACATCCCAAAAAACGGCTGCGGAGGAGACTATAAATACATCAGCTGTCTGATAAAAATTAAGTACAGCTACTTTATAGAGTGTTGATCAGCCTAGAGTTTTAGTATTAGCAGAAATGTACGTAAAATTTACAAATTACTCCAATTTAGACACTTACTTCTATGTCCACCTGATGCAACAGAGAGGAGCTGGATGCAACGGGAGAAATCTCTGTTTCCTTCCAAACGAAATAAGCTGCCCTCCGACTGAAAGATTGCGTGACGAGCAGCTACAAGAGACTGAGACTGGGCCGAATCTGTCGTTGCCTGGTTACCTGTGTCGTTGCTAAGAAACCAACGCTGTATTTTCTTGGGCGCCATATTGAAAATTCGCAGTCAGAAGAGTTTTATCGGGTACATCATTTATCGTTTGTAAGTCATGCCAACTGCCGTTTTAATGGACGAAAAAATTCAAAAAGAGGAAGACAACTATCCAAGGTAAAAGGAGAGGAAATACCGCTCTTGGAGTGAATTCATAAGCCATCATGTACATGTGTTTATTAACACAAGCTTGGCTGACATTTGTATTTCTTTGATATAACTTGAACAGGATTACGAAGAAGGTCTTATTTCAACTTTGTAAAGATCATAAATTGTACAGAACACCGTATCTAAATGATGTGCTTTACCTTCATTATAAAGGTACGTATTACGTAGTCGTAACAAGCATATTGCGTTAAAATACTGTATAGTAGTAAACATCTTACTTCTTACAAGCTTATATAACCTAAAGTAACTTAATGTAACATCGTGAGTTTAAAATTTATTGCGATGAATGGCTGTATAGCTCATAGGATGCAACGCTTGAGTGTGCGTTTTGTAGTGTATAGTACATGAAAAAATGTAATATTTGTATACTTTTTTTCCTTTTTTTTCATTGTTAAAACTAAAAGTAGCTACCATTACAAGTGTTATACAGCTTATTAATCAAGGCTGTCAAAAATTACATGATATACAGTCAAACTTCCACTAGCAGTCACCTCTCTACAACGGCCACTTTGTTGTCCAGACATCAGGTCATTCATTCACACTTACTTTAACCTCTCCACAATGTCAATAGCCACTAAAGCACATCCCAACTGCCATAATAACCTCTTGACAATGGCCAGTTAATCTATAATCGACAAATGGGGTATACAAAACCCCATTTTCATTGTAAGGACTTGAAACTTGATATGTACCGTGTGTCATTGCTCTCTGTTTCTGTTCTGTTTCATTTTGTTGACATATTTTGATTATGTTACATATTTCAAATGGCCCGTGTTATATTAGCAGCCGGAGGGGGGGCGCAGGGTGGTTAATCCCCTATATGGGCTATATAGGTATGTGCGGGCCCAAAGGGTAGGGTTTTTCAGCTATTTTGGTCATAAATAGAGTATCGATTTTGGCCATTTTGGTTATAAATAAGGTATGGTTTTAGCACTCTTGTCTCAAATTGGGTATGTTTCTTAGAAGAAGCTACCTTTTCATCTTTATTGATAAAACTGTCAACAAAAGCCGTTCATAACTTATGTTTGGGGTAGCTATGTCAGCCGCAACGGTCATAAATAGGGTAGCAAAAAACACAGATTTTGGTCATAAATAGGGTAAGGGTTTTGGGGATTAGCAGCTTCTTGGTTGAGCCTGCTGATCACGAGTTGCAAGCTGTGGTACATGGTGATTGTGTAATCAAAATTATTAGACAAGTTTGTCAGGGGTTGCAAATGGTATATTCAAGACTTTGCAAGATTCCTGAGGATTGGTGTCTTTTCTGCATTAGCCCAAGAGTTTCTTACTTAAATGGCTTTGCAAAAGAAACATTAACTACAAAAAGGTGTCGTGAAATATTGGAGGCTATGTCAGACCCTTGAAAATTAACAAAAATTGTTTGAGAGACCTGTACTTTTTAATTATACATTTGTTTGCACCTCTTGTACATTACGTTTGTGTTGTAAATCTGCTAAAAAGGTTTAACATTACTATTATTAAATTGTTGGTCCAGGCTTTGCCAAGATAGAAAACCTTGAAGAATACACAGGATTGAAATGTCTTTGGCTGGAATGTAATGGAATTCACAAGATTGAAAATCTGGACAATCAGAAAGAGCTGCGATGCCTGTAAGTATTTCTTCTAGAATTGGCCTCCAGATGACTTAATTGCCATAATTTTAGTATTGTAAATCTACATGTACTAGCATTCCATCCTGCAATCCCATGATCTTATTGGCTATGCTACTCACTATCTATTTTGTTGTAGCCTTAAAATATAGTGTGCTGTTGTTAACAAAATGGTGATTACTTCCTTGGGTTTTCAAAGTGTCATGAATCTGTCTTGTTGTTTGCAAGGTTTTGAATGACTTGTAGATAAAATAAAATATATATTTCTATGATAACTGCAGAAATTCTTGCGCACTCATTGGCTAATTTCCCTCTTCAATAAGCAGACAGACACATAAATTTATAATTAATGTGATGCGGCAATCGCATTAATGATGCGGCAATAACCCAAACCATTTTCTTAGACAAAAAGTCAGCAGTCACATTATCTTTTTTTTTTTACATTGTCTTGTACATGTAATATCTATTTACCAGGTATCTACAGCAAAACCTTCTGTCAAAGATGGAAAATTTGGAGCATCTACAACAGTTGGACACTCTTAATGTCAGCAATAACACCATTTACAAAATTGAAAATATAAGTAAGTTGTACTTATGTTGAGTTTATATTGCTTTCCAAACTGCTGCAGTATCTCCAAAAGGTGAAAATCACTGAAAAGTTTCTAAGCAAAATAATTAAGCCCAAGCTTTAAGTGTGCAGTCATTTGCAAATGGGCATTTGTCAAAGCCAAATTAATTTAAATCTTTCTTGCTGTACTTTTTATTTGATTAGTCTTTTAATTACATGTAGCAGTCAGTTTAAATTGTTTTCTGATCAGTGAAAAGTCTGGGAAATTATAAAGTCTTGAGCATAATACATGTAATTTGTTTTTCAAACTGTCTTGTACAGTTGCATATAGAACCAAACATTCCCATCATTGGCATACATGTATTTCATGTCTACCAATAGTAAAAGTGCACACTGGGTTGCTGATCAGTCAGATTCTATTCTCTCTTGCTGAGAGAATAGAATCCTCTTCTGATTCTCTTTGTTTTCTTTGCACCACTGCAGGTGCCATTCCCAAATTGAGCACACTACAGATATCACACAACCGTTTATCAACAGCGGATGACCTGACACATTTAGCAGAATGTCATAATCTGAGGTACAGTATGTTCATTGTGACAATGTGTTTCCAGAATCATGAGCTTTGTGACCCCCACTCAACCCCCTCAGATATTTTGTACATTGTACAGTGTCCTTCTGATAGTGGGTGTGGATATTTCTGGAACTACATGTATATACATGTATACTGTAGTCTGCATATGATCAATTCAGACCATAGGATTTAAGCTGGTCTGAATTTTTATATAAGTTTATGAAGCCCTCCAGAAAAATTTGGTGGGGGTGTGCAGCCCACTTCCCAAAACCCTAATACCCTGTTTATGACCAAAATCTTTGATTTTCCCTACCCTGTGAATTATGACCCATCCAAAAATTTGATACCCTATTTAAAATAAATTATTACTGCATTATTTCAAAACTGTTTAACTGAGTTACTCTTTATGCCTGTCCGCAGTGTCGTGGATGTGTCACACAACAGAATAGATGATCCAGATGTCTTAGAAGTCTTTGCCTCCATGAAAAATCTTGTAAGTCTTTTGAGAATACCGTAAACCTTTGCAGACTTTGATGCTTGAATTCAGTACAGCCCATTCAGTGTGTGTATGTACATACAACAAGTACGTATAAATTATTTCACCTGTACAGTGCTGTAACTACTTCCATGATCAACTGAAATGCATTCATGAGGTGTTTAACAAATTCTTGTACTTTGATCAAATTCAAACAAATTATTTAAAGTAATAAGATCGCTTTAATTTCCTTCCTCAAATAGCATGTTCTTAACATGATGGGTAACTCTGTCATCAAAAAAATCAAGAATTACAGGAAAACATTCATCATCAAAATAGTGAGTGAAATGTTTTATTCTGATGAATATGTCACATATGCCACCTTTTTAATGTTGATACTTATATATTTATATTTTTGTCTGCAAGAACATGTAACATGATGACTGGTCATGCGAGACAGGCTAGAAATTTAAAGTGTTTTGCAAAATTTTATACGATCAGGAAACTTGCTTTGTTATGAGGTTAGAGGGAGATCCTGAGGTTTTAAGGTCATTCCACTGAAATAGAACCAGCACTGAGATTTTTGTCAAACTTTGCCTATTGACTGTTTATGTTATGGGAACTTAAATTTGGAAATAAAAATGAGGGGTCCCCATGTTTGTTTAGGAGCAACAGCACCTTGTTTATACCATATAAATCCTTATAATAGCACCATGACTATTAAGTCACAATTGCTTGCTAAAATCACTTTTCCGATGATTGTTTCTTGCTCAACACTGAGAATTGGCCCATATTTATTTTACATAGAGAAATTTATTACTCAATTCAACAAAACAGAAAAAAAATGATAGGTTGCCATACTCGTTTTCGAGAAAATGATGATTTACCTCTATGGCAAGGTCCAGCCACAAAGAAAAGGCCGCCAATTTTTTAACGTGCACGCGCTAATTAGGCGTGAAATTATGCGCAGTAGGGATGCGCAATGCAATACTGGAGAATGACCTTAAGGGGGATGGCTGTAATTAAGATGAGCGGTTCTTTGGTTGAAAAAGTTCATGAGAGTTGCACCATTGGGATGAATTTTTAATACATCAATTCTTCCACATGAGGGTGGGGAAATTATGGGGGCGGGGGGGAGGGGGTGAGTTGAAAATGTTATGTTTAGATCAGTGACTGCTTAACAATGCAAAAAGGCATTTCCTATGAAATGACAAAATCTGGCATATTGATTACCAAGTGTGAAGAACGTACATACATTACTCTATAATAAACGGCAGTAGGTTACCAGGAAATTTCCAAGAAGGGTTATATAATTTGGAAATTCCAAGGGGGGGGACCTCAAAATCCAATGTTTTTAAAGGAAAGTATGAACCAAAACTAGAATTGGGGGGTTTCAAAGCAAAGAACCCTCTGTGGGAGGGGTAAGGATATTAACTAGAACAGCACATGAGTTCATACAATTAAAAAATTAATACTTAGAATCTCTGTTTAGATTCTTGTCAAGACTCTAAATATACCAAGTCCCTTTAGATACTAACAGAATAACTATGTGTGTTCAATGTCCTGTTGATAAAGAAAGGCCTGAGATACCTTGACGACCGACCAGTGTTCCCAAGAGAACGAGCCTGTGCAGAAGCATGGTGAGAATTAATTCACATATAAAGGATATGGCTGTACAGAGATACAAAATTTCTCTTGCAGTGTTGAGACAGATTTTTCAACATGAGAAGAGAAATTTAGTGACCATATAATTTTCTGTCTATTATATAAAATTCTCGTAATCAGATAACAATGTTTTTGGCGGTTTTCAAAAGATTTTTTACCAGTTTCTGAAGATTACTGAAGATTCTCCAAAAGTTGTCTGAAAGGCCAGACGAATGATTCCCAACATTTTCCAAAATTTTCCAAAAATTTCTGAAGATTGCCGATGAAAGATTTCTGAAGAAGATCCAAAGATGTTTTAATCATACACCAACAAATTTTAAGGGCAATTTAAAGGGACAAAAATGAAATCACACATGTCAGGATAAAAATGATATGCTCACATGTGGGATATAATTTTAATTGTCTGTAGAAGGATGTCTGATAGCAGAGCTCCAGTGGCCCGAAGGGTCACCAAGCAGAGCACGATACACATAGGAATTCTCATTCTCATTCTCATCTTGGCTAGTGGTATTGCCTTGAGGTGTGTACACAAAACGAGGAAGTTACATTGTTCAAGAAGGTGATGCTATACTCCAGCTAATAGGTTGACGGAAACATGCAGCCTTGGCTTATAGCATACATCTTTGACATCCATGTTATGGTCAATTTGACAACTGTCAAATCAAGGAATCTGCTAACCAGTATCACATGACTATATCACGGGCTGAAGCTTAGAGAAGTTGATCGGTGACCAAGTGCTGGTTTTTGATTGGATCGCGAGCTCAAGCCAGGTGAACTAAATGTTTTAATCAGGGCTGGAATGGATTAAGAACACGTGCATATCATTTTTATCCACACAGGTAACTTTTATTAATTTATTAACGTCTTTGAATTCTAGGGAGAAGGGAGGAGTGGAGGCTGAAAGAGAAGAAAGAGAGCGGTGGATTACAAGAGAACAGCAAAAGATTATGGACAGTGTGAATGGTAAGCTTTATGCAAGCTGAATGTGGACTGATATTACATGTACTCTAGCAGTGCTTACTAACAATACTTTTTAATCTTCTCTTACCATGAGTTTTTACTGTATTCCTTTCTTCA